CAAAAGGATAAAATATAAACGAACGTTCTTTTAAATATTATTATCAGTAATACATCGTTTAAGCTTTTAAACTTTCCTCTCTTATATAGATTCGATACGCAATATGCATTTACTCGACACACAATTAGAAAGTTTATTTCAAATTAAACCGACTATTATTGCAACTGTTTTTAGTAAAAAGGTTGCAGGAAAGTATCGTAAAAAAAAGATAGAGAAAACCAGATTCATATTATCGAATTTAAATATTTTTCAAATTGACCGTTAAGAGAACGAACAAAAATGATATTTCAAAAACTTTGTATGTGTGTATATACAGTAATTTATACAAAATTTATTAATTGTAAATAAAAGAGATTGAAAATATATTTATTGTTTATTATCAGATCGATTGAAATGTTATTCTATATATTATATATATTGTATATGTATGTTTTTTGTGTTTTTTTCTTGTTTCAAAAAAGTGTGGTTAGGTTTAATTAAATGGTGGTATATGACACAAAGAAAATAGAAAATTATTGAATAATATTGTATCACAATAAATGTAACACCGTGTTTGCATAGCGATGATGATCTACACACAAGACATAATATAGTTTTTTTTTATTATTCATTTGCAATATACTCGACTACAGTACAGTAAGGTATGATAAGAGGCAACAACAAAAAACAAAAAAGAAAAAGAAAAAACAAAAATAAAATAAACTGGTCTTTAAAAAGATTTCTCGTAAAGTAAGAAAATGTTAATCGATGTGAATGTTTTATAATGATTTTGTTATCGCGTAAAGTTTGCTTGTTTGTTTCTTTCTTACAAAAAGGATTCATTTAATGGTAATGTGAAATCATAAAATGGTAACTTGTGTAAAATATAGTACAAATAATAATACACTTTTATTCTCTTTTTTTCTATCCTTACGAGACGAAACCACAAATTCAGGGCCGAAACTACGACCCCGTAACAGGGGGGGGAGCCTCGGTGTACGTTCAAAAACAAAATGGTACCTGACATTTGTCAATTATTTTTATATTTATATATATATAACATTCTAATAATGAAATGTTATATATTAATAATTAATAATTAACGACAAACAAAAACAAAGAAAAATCTATGTATATTTTAGAAATAAAATAACATAGAATCTATGAATTATTAGAACTTTGTATTTTAATTGAAAAACATCGTAAGAAAAGTTGGACATTTCGATTGTTTCATCGAACATCAATATTAATATTTGTACGTATAATATAAGTTGTTGTTGTTGTTGTTTTTTTTTTTTTTATGTAACATAAGTTTTCTATCTTTATATAATATAAGTTGTTTCATTTCCCGAAGGTAGGGGGGGATTCCTTAAAATTATAATTTACAGGAATAACGGAACATTTGTATATCCGCCATTGACGCAATCAAACTGACCAATAAAATGCCTCATAATTATGCGAATGCTTGTCATTAATCAATCATTTCATTTCTATTTTTAATTTTTATTTAACACATAGGAATATTTTGAAAGATAAAATAATCTTTTTAATGAAATAATTTTAAATTAATAAATAATAATAATATAATAAATATATATATATATATATATATATATTAAATATTTAGATCAAAAGAGAAATTGTTTGACCTGTTTTTATATACGCGTGCATTTATCTGTATATAATATACCACCACCGATTATATACTACGTTCGTCGTTGACTATTAAAAATTTAAATACGAAAAAGAGAAAAGAATTAACGAAAAGAATGGAACCCCCCTGTTAATCGTAATAACGATCAAATGTTCTACTTTCTCAATTACGAACAACAAAACGAAATACGATGAACATAATATCTATATGTATCACGATTATAAAATACATTTGCGAAAAGAGGTTAGAAAGTTAGAATAATATTTTAAGGGAACCGATTACTACTACGTTGGTCAAGTTTAACGTTATGCGAATTATTACGTTGTTATAATCGATATGTTCTATTCGAATAGAGATACTTTTAATCGATGACAAATCAACGAATATTATATATAATATATTCTAGGAATTATATATATATATATATGAATACTTAGATGTCTCTATTACGTACCAATTAATAATCGAAAAATATATCATATGATGAAAATTGCCAATAAGATTCCGTCAGTCGATGAACAGACGACGAGCCAACACTTTTATTTAATAATTATTTTACGAATTAACGTGTAAAAAAAAAAAAAATGTAAACGTCACTTGACAAGACTCTCTTTTTTATTTCTCGTATTTTTTGATTAACTCGACGACGATCCATCCATCATAGTCGAAACTTCATAGTCAACTGTAGGCAACGGTAAAAATAATTTTTCCATTCTCCTCGGTGTTCACACCCGACCCACCACCACCATCCGTTTTCTCCGTTATCCGCATACACGCATACATACACATTCAATTTCCTCCTGCCTTCCGCGCATGCGGTGGCGAAAGATCAAATTGCCGCGACCCGTTCATTGGTCAATTTCAAATTACGCGCGAGTCGTATATCTAGTTCGAGATATCGTTCCACGTTTCGCGCCATAATCGATAAGATACTCTATGTTTTTTCTTTTTTTTTCCTTCTACCATAGATAATCGATTATATCTTATATTTTTTCAATTAGTTATTTATTTTCAATATGTTTCGTTCTAACTGATGTGTGTTACGTATTTGTATTACGATAAATATGACGTTTAATTGATTTAGGAATATATAATATCTAATTTTAAATTGTGAGTAATTTCGTTCGTTTATACGTGTTCCGCATAATTTTATTTTATAAACTAACTGTGTATTGAAATTAAAGAATTTATCGTTTGCCAAACACATTAGTACTATTTAACCAAGTATTAATTGACTTGTTTTATTATCCCAAATTCATATTATATTTCTTTTATTATCTATTTCTTATATGACGAAAATCGTTACGATATACTTGTGTTTTAGACGAACTATGCACGCAAATAGTGGTTCCATCCTATGTAGAGAAAAAAAACTAAACAATACTAAAAAAGTTGATAATATAGTTTACTGTTATCGTATGTCGATAATATAGTTTGATGTAATTGACTGTCGGTAATATAGACCATCAACGCGCAATCGATAATGTAGTTTATATACGATCTGTCGGTAATATAGTTCAACCGCCATCTGTCGGTAATATAGGCCACTTTATTTGAGCTGTCGGTAATATAGTTTACTTTATCCACCTGTCGGTAATGTAACTTTAATCGTTATCGACAGTTACATTATTAATAGTTTGAAAATAAAACTCATAGATGACGTTGTTGTCGGTTATATAGTTTACTGTATTCATCCGTCGGTAATGTAACTTTGATCGTTATCGACAGTTACATTATTAATAATTTGAAAGGAAAACTCATAGATGGCGTTATTGTCGGTAATACAGTTTTCTTAATTTCCATCACTTTCTTTTTTTATTGTATCTCGTTAATATACATTAAAAAGAATCATTTATTTTCAAGTGTAATCGTGTAAATTCGATCGAATAAACATGACGCAAATTTGAATGGAAACACTAAAATTTATCCAAATGTAAATGTTTATTAAAATTTTTGTAGTATTTCGCTAGATAATTTCAGTTTTTTATTCAAGATAATCTTCAATATCTATTGCGCTAATAAAATAAATAAAATAAGAATAAGAATAAAGTGAAAAGGAAGAGAAAGAAGAGGAAGAAGATGAAGAAGAAGAAACAAAGCGATCAACTTTTGAAAAAGATCGTCTCGACCGCTTGAACATTGCCCTTTTGAATCATTCTCCGCGCAGATGATAAGAAAACGAGTTATTTCGTTGTATTTTCGCTTGGTTACTTGCTTTGCGTTTCAATCTAATCCAACGGGTATCGTTAGTAAAAATCAAAATGAAAAAATTCAAATGCTAAACAATGAACAATAATTTATGTAAAATCTAATCATATAATAATATCGTTAAATCAACAAATTGTATTATTATTATTTTCCAATAAATAAATATATATATATATATATATATATTTATATAATCATATGCTAATTATATTCGCGAATAAAATATATACAGTTTGCATGTATAACACGTGCATAAATATGCATACGTAATAATCGCTAAACTATGAGATGAAAAGCTAATGCGCTATTTAAATTAATAAAACAAACTGTCCAATAATAATAGATTCTAGTTGTTGAAAGTTGATACACTTATTTTAGTATACTTAGTATTCGATTATCGTTATCGATATCGAAAGAATGTGGAACGAAACGTGTGAAGTGTGGTAGCGGGGTGTGGACGGGGGAAGCTGGTGTGTTACGAAGGTAAGACAAACCAAAAAAAGAAGAAAAAATGAGGAAGTGAAACTAAACGTTGACAAGATTGATGATTATAATACGTAACCTTGTTTTTTTCGTCAAATTGTTATTGATTATGTATAAGCAAAAAGACAAGTTATAACGCGTTGAAGAATATTTTTGTTCATAAAAATGTGTTAGTTGAATAAGAAAGAAAATACCAAGAAAATTCCAAGGAAAGAAAAGAAATGAAATGTAATGAAAAATACACACGAAAACAACAACGATGATATTGATGATTAATAAAAATAATCGATGATAATAATAATGGACAATGTGTGCCAAGTAATACGTCAAACTCCGAGTACAAAGTTTTAAATGCTTGTGGTTTATAAGAGTTTGGATTGGGGAGGGGGAAAGTAGTGGGTGGGGGCTCAGAGAAAGGGGGAGGGTGAAAGTTTTACAACACATTGTTCTTCTTAAAGCGTGGTAAAATCAAAATGAGAGAGAGAGAGAGAGAGAAAGAGAAAATGAAAGATAGGGGCATAAATATAAATATAATATAATACAACGAAACAAGTTTCCTATGGGGAGAACAAGTTACGTGGTTAGGGAAGAGGTGGAGTGGGGGGAGGAGGAGGTGGAAAAAAGAGAGATTGTAAAAGAGGAAGGGAAAAATGATTTGTACGGATTCAGTCAGTAATGAAACAACGTTTGAAGCGATTAGTTGTTGGTTTGTAGATGCGCGAGCAATGTTTTTTCCTTGATGTAATTAATCGAAATAAAATTACGCGTAATTACGTAAATAATATATTAAAGAAAGAAAACAAAATATATATTAACGTTTATATGTGCGTTTGAGATTGATTTAAATTCATTGATATTATGCAATAATATTTAAAAGGTCATATATAGTTTTGAAAAACACGTGTGACTCATTTGTGTTTTATTTAAATTATTATTATTATTGCTTTCTTTTTTTTTTTTTCCAACATAATTTAAATTTTTTTAATTAATAATCCGTTGGGTAATCAAGTCTTTAAAGGTTTGGTTGTAATAGAAAGTATTACGTAAATAAAAGAAGAAGAAAAGTAAACAAAGAAAAGAACAAAATTGAGATAAAATTAACGAATGAACGTAGAAGAAGGAGAATGCTAGAAAGGTAAGATAAATTATTATTATATTTTGTTGTTATTGTTGTTGTTTTTAGTAATTATTTTATTTACGATATTTATATGGAATTTTGTGTTTATCTCGATTGAAATGCACAATTATTTGTTATATTTTTTTGTTTTTTTTTTCTTTT